CACCCACACAAAATTGATTTCAGAGTTTGATGATAAAAACAAAAATGGTAAGAAAGTATAAAATAAAAGAAAGGAAACAAACTAAGAAAAAAGTGACGCAAAAAAACAAGAGAAAAAAACTAACAAAAAATACACGCGCCAACCGCGAGCCGGTACGATTGACACTCGGCAAACGAGGAGCTTTGATGAATCATAGCGGCATTTTTAACTTCGTGCCCTCCTTGTGCTGGCTAGACAGACCGATTGGATCACATTCATACATATTCATAAGCTCATACGAGACGAGTTGTCATATTTGCGATTCATTTTCATTATATACATATATACGAGTATAAATATACGAATGTACATATGTACATATATGCATATATATATGTATTTATGACATGTATGTATAGTTTAAAGTGAACATGGGACGCTTTTTTGCCGGGTTTTATGAGCTTTTTTGTCAAGTTGTGTTAATTGTAATAAACACGGACGTACATATATATATATATATATGAATTTATATTTATATGTCATACATACCACAAGTTGCTGGTAAACTTGATAATTGTTTTTGTTTTTGGCGTTCATTGACAGCCGTTAGATTAGCATTTGTACTTTTATGATTTTGCCATAAATAATGTCGAACCCACGCAAAATTTGTCTCAGTAGTATTAGTATATACACGTATGTATGTATGTTGTTTGTAAAATTAGTTTATAAAACTATATACATATGTATTTATTATATATTCTAGAATAATATATGCACATATGTATGTAAAATTGTAATTTAAATGTTTTATTTCTTCCCCTCACATTCATGAATTAGTGCACAAACTATTTTTAACGAAAAGATTTCACTATTCCATTGCTTTGAAATTAATGATCTTGATTTCTTCCAGCTCCAGGCGATTTATGGCCTCTTGATTTATGGTTAGGGAAATAATTTATGGGATTTGGTGTAATTTATGGCAAGCCAGAAAGGTATAATTTCCGCATAAATGTAAAAAAAAAGAGTTAAATAAAATAAAATAAATAAACGCGCATATAAAGTTCAAATAAAAAAAGAACTCGAGCTGCTCGATCATCAAAAACGTCGTGTCTTTGCCGATTGCGTGCTTGAAATGCATGAAAATGTTCCGGAATTTAATCGAAAAATGTCAATTCGCAAAACTGTCGCACTTGAACCTCGGAAAACTCAAATTTATTGTTGAAAAGTCTCCGCCAACCTCAACGTGTCTACGTCTTAAGTCCTCAAAGATGGAGCTCTTGAAGCAGCCCATTTTGCGGCTCGGTGTTCGAAGATTTTGTAGGGGGGTAAAAGAACCGACTCATTTTTTCTTTTAACTTCTTTTTTTTTATAGATAAAAATCTAGCTAATAATCATTGCCGGAAAGAAAATAAAAAAACAATAAAAATTATTGAATTTGACGATACACTGAAAAGAAAAACAATAACAACATCCTGTATCATATTTTACGGTGCACTAAAGTACTGCCTCTTTGTGATTATCAAATTTGAATTACAACCAATCGATTGGCAAAATAAAAATTTTTTTACGCAAATATTGCGAAAAAACAACAAAAAAATATATTCAGAACTAATAAAAAAAATCAAAATCAACTAACTTTTTAGACTCCGAAATTTCTGCTTAAAAAACACAAAAAAAAACTCATTTAACTTTTAATGCGTCTAATTACTTATTTGCCGAATACCACATTGTGCCTAAACCAGTTGGGCGCTTTGCTGAGAAAGTCAAATAAATTAACGAGTTCCGACGGCGAAAATAAATGGCGCATGGCTAATGTTGGCGTAAAAGTTTTTCATATTTCATTTCATTTTTTTTTTTTTTTTTTTTTTTTGTAAAAATTGACGTCATTAATTAGAGACTGCTGTTAAATGTTATTTAGCACATTTTAAACACAACTGCATATGTACATATGTATTTAAGAAATTTGCAATAGGGTTGCCCTTAATAGATTTACTAAAATCAAATTTGGCACTCAAAATTAAATAAAGCTTTTATTTATTGAAAGTACCCTTCACCATGAATATATTCACACTTTTTGTGTGATCTACACGATTTACCTTCTTTTGATAACCAACACAATATACAATAATAATTACAAGCTGATAAGCCGAAAATTTTCTTTGATTAAATACCTTAATGTGATAAAGTTGTCGTAATGCCAATGGACGGCGTGAGCTCGTAATCATTTAAAAATAACAATTATAACATTATTTGACTTTCAAATAAATAGCTACTGTAAATTTATGAAAAAAGTTATCTTAAATTTCAAAAATTGCAACAACAAAAATAATGCTAAGCACAGAATTATCTAAAAATGAGCTGCCACCACTTGAGCCGCTAAGAGACGTAGGTATTTAGTGTCAAAAAAAAAACGTCTTATTAGCCATGACAAAGTGTATACTGAAGCTCAATTTCAGGTACAGTATTACCCAATAAGAGATGTTATTCTGGTATTTAAAAAAAATTGCAAATATTTTACGTAGTCCCAAAGGAAAGAAGTCATAAGGTGTTAAATCACAAGATCTCGGTGGCCAATTGCGATAACCTTTTCGAGAGTAGCAGGGTTCGGAGAGTTTTTTAAAAGATCAATGTTTTCGATAGCGGAATACATTCACCGTAACTATAGCTCTGGCTTCATTTTCAATAAAGGAAGGTCCAATGATCCCGCCGGACAATAAACTGTACCAAACAGTTGAGAATGGTGGCTTTTCTACTATAAATCTTGGGTTTTCCGTTCTCCAGATGCAACAATTTTGTCTATTGACGTAACCATCGAGATGGAAATGGGTCTCATCAGTCAAGATGATTTTTCAATGAAATTCCGGATCATTTTCATGCGTTTTAACGACCGAATCAGCAAAAACACGACGTTGTTGTTGATCAGTTGGCATGAGTTCTTGTGTTAACTGAACTCTATAGGCCTTAAGACCCAAGTCTTTATGCAAAATACGACGTAATGACGTTTGTGGAAGAAGCCCATTAAAAAAAAAAAGTAAAAACGAAAAAATGGACAACCAGTTTTTTCTTAAAAATTTTGGTCTACATCAGCAATATTCTCAGTTGTTCTGGAGCGACGTGCTCAAGTTTTTCCAATGATCTCTGTATTGCGGTCCTACGATTGCTTCACGGCGACAGAAAAATGTTTTAACGCACCGTCTCTCCCAGGTTCCTCCGTTTTTAAATTGAATTTTAATAATTTCAGGTGTAGTCATGGCGTAGTTTTTACTTGTCAAAGGTCAAAAAATTACAGCTTCTCCCGGAATAGCAGTAGCATGCTATTAAAAAGAAAACCTCTTGTTGGAAACCCCTTTATTTATATATTTGCTATTTTTACAAAGAGCTTTAATGTGATATCTTTCAAGGAACAATATTAAAAAGTCCATATCATTTTAATTGTATTTATTTATTTTCTTATGATATTTAATTACTTATATTTTATTTTAATTTATAATATTATCTGATATTTTCCCATTTCATTTGATTTTATTTTAGTTAATTTTAATGTTTACCATTTTAGCTTTTTTTCAAATTATTTTATTATTATGTTTAATTTAAATTTATTTTATTTATTTAACTTATTGTACTATTTTAATTGTATTATTATTTTTTTTAATTTAATTTACTTGATTTAGTTTTTTATTCTATTTTTTATTTTATTTTAATCTATTTTATTTTATTTTATTTTACTTTAATAAAATTTAGTTTAGTTTAATTTAATTTTATGTTATTTTTTATTTTATTTTGTTTTATTTTATTAATTTAATTTGATTTAATTCATTTTAATTTAATTTAATTTAGTTTAATTTTATTTAATTTTATTAAATTAAATTAATTTTATTTATTTCATGTCATATTTTTATTTTACTTTATTTGAATTTATTTTCATTTAATTTACTTAATTTAATATTATTTAAATAATTTACGTCATTAATTAAATTTACTTAAATTTAGTTTAATTTTATTTTACTTTTTCATTTTATTTTGTTTTATTTTATCAATTTAGTATAATTTAATGTGATTTAATTTAATTTAATTTAGTTTAGTTTTATTTAATATAATTTACTTAATTAAATATTACATATATATTTATTTTAATTAAATTAATTTAAAATATTATTATGGTATTTTAATTAATGTACATAATTTAATAACATAATTTTTATTGAATTCAATTTTATTTTATTTTAATTTAACTTATTTATTAAATTTTTTATCAATTTTTTATTTTAGTTTATTAATTATTTCCTACAGCTGTTTATTAGAACAAACCAGTTTTTCCACTACATACATATATGTACACATGTATGTATATAGTAAATGGCATAACCGTTTGATATTGTTCATTCTAATCAGCAATTAGTAATTATCACTTAATTAATGATGATGTTAGCACAGTTTTAGTTTGTTTTAATTTGCTTGTAGCAAACTTGCAATCTCTTCTTTTGTAACGTAAGAAGATATACATACCTTCATACATCTTATACTTAGATATTACTCATTCGATTTATAACTAAAGGCAATTATAGCAATACAATCGGAATTTCAGTTCATTTAAAGAGTTTTGCTTGCATTTAAGAAGATTTTTTTATTAAATTAATTAAATAAGGGAGCACGTGCTTCGTGAATATTTCTTGACACTTGACAAGTGAATAAGCTTAATATATTACATACATACATACGAGTAAGTAGCTGAGCAGTGTTTACACACTATGCTATGAAAAATTTATATTTATACTATGTATATTCATGCACTCAACTTTCTTTCGCATGCCTCCTTCCAAACCAATATGCCTGAGGCACACTTTTTACTGCATACCTTTAGGCGCCACGCTTAGTCTCTCATGTTCACATTCATGTGGTCTTTTAACAGATGTTTATGTGCTAATTTGTTATTTATCACGTTTTTTTCGTAATTTTTTTTTTTTTTTTTTCAATCAAACTCTTTTAACATTACTATTTCTTCCATTCATCTTCCCACTCACCTGATGTTGCGATGATGTGGATGATGTTTCCTTAACACTACTACTTAAACTTGTATTTATGTGTCGCCCCACGGTTGTTGTTGTTGCATTACTTAAACCATTACTGCTGCCATTGCAGTTACCCACCGTGAGGCCATTTAAGGCAGGAGTTGTAACTATTGTCTCTCTGCTGCTGCTGCTGCCGCTGCCACCACAGCCGCTTGTTGTTGGCGTGCCATTTTTCTTGTGGAAATTTTCAATTAAAGACGATGCTGGACTGGAGACGCCACTATGTGAACTATCCGAAAAATCTGACATCTGGAAGGAGAAATGTAAAAAAAATGTGATATTAAAAATTTGTTTTTGTAATGCAAAAATCTAATAAAGCAAATAAAAATAAACCTTATTTAATTCAAAACAAAAATTGAAAAAAAAATTATTTGTAGTTTGACATCAGTTAAGACGTGATGAAAAATATTTTCCGCGCACTTTCTGTCATTTATTTATTTATTATATTTATATTTGATAAGCAATTGATTGCATTCAATTTGAACGTCTACTGATGAAATCGCTAGACACACTGTCGTCTGTGGTTACTTACAAACGCACAAATACAATATTTATGTACATCAATTTTGAAAATATTCATAGATGTAAATAAGAGGCACTTGTTAATTATATACAAATATTTTTCAATCATTTATAGGGCATAATTTAAAAAATGTAAGTAAATAAATACACAGAAGGGCATTAATTGACGGCGTAACGGTTGCAGCCTTAGTAAGAGGTTGGAAGGTCATCAGCACTACAAAAGACGACAGTTGATAAGCAGTGGAGATAATACAAATTTACAACTTTATTTTATTTTAATAAATAGGCATACATTCTATGTGCTTACTAAGCAACAAATTAATAGGTGCATCTGAATGCATGAGCGAAATACTTTTGCGAAATTATGTAAAATTTAAATAAAATAACAGTGAAAAATAATTTCAAAAAAATATGAAGGGTTCGTTTTCAAAGTCTTCTTCTTTAAAAGAAATATTTCTAAAGTAATAAAAAGTTTGGTGTTGATTGTAAGCTCAGTTTCAGGTGCTACGGCTGATGTAGGCAATAACTTTTTTATTAAAAAAATTAAGTTTGAAAAATTGTAGACTTCCTGAAACTAAAGAAATAAAATATACGAAAACCTTATATGTTAATGAAACAAAAATTATGCCCATCTTTAAAGGGTAAACTTATTGTTAATTGTATCTATTATTATTTTAAACATAATACTTTTTGTAATATTTTTTTATAATTTATTATTATTTCCCATATATTCTTCTTTGCAATATGAATACATTTTCCGTTGACTTCCATGTTCAATATTGCTTAAGTAAGGTATTGCGATTAAACCGGTAGCATTATTCCAGGCAAGCATTAATTAAATGTAATTATTGTCAGCTCCTACATGCAACTATAAAACTTGATTTGGTGTCTATTATACGTAATTAGTTAATAGTAGGTTGCTAGCAGTCTAAACTTAAGGGGTGTGTTATTAGAATAACTTATTAAAAAATAATAAAAAATAGTAAAAAAAAAAATATAAAAAATAAAATAATTTAACAAAAGCATAATAGCATAATAAAACAAATTAAAAATAAAATTAAACTAAATTAAATTAAAACAAGTAAAATAAAATCAAATAAAATAAAATAAAAAATTTAATTAAACCAAAAAAAAAAAACAAATAAAATAAGACAAAACAAAATAAATAAAAAATGAAAGTTAATTAAAATGAAAGAAAATAAAATAAAATTAATTGAAATAATTTAACAGAATTAAAATAAAACAAACAAAAAAATTAAATTTAATAAAATAAAAAAGGCAATAAAAAAATAAAAAAAATTTCAAATAAAATAAAATAATATGAAGAAAAATAAGTAAAAATTATTCAATATAATACAATATAGAGTAAAATAAATTTATATATAGTAAAGTAAAGTACGACAAAATTAAATAAAATAAGATCATGTAAAATAAAATGAGTAAAATAACTAAAAAAATAAAATATAACAAAAAATAATATAATCAAACTAAATTGGATTATATTACATTAAATGTGGTAAAATAAAATAATACAAAAAAAAATAAAATCCAATTAAATAATAAAATAAAATTATATGTATAAAAAAATTAAATTATATAAAGTTAAATGAAATAAAACAAGCGAAAAAAATAAAATAAAATAAAATAAAAAAAGACAATATAAAAATTTAAATAATTTGAAATAAATGAAAATAAAATAAATATTATAATATAAATATAATGAAATAGAATAAATTAAAAGTAGATAAGGTTAAGTAAAATAAGACAAATAAAATAAAATAATATAAAGTAAAATAAGTAAAAATAATTTATAAAAAATATAACAAAAAATTAATATAAACTAATTAAATTGGATTAAACTCCTTTAAATATGGTAAAATAAAATAATATAAAATGAAATGAAATCCAATTAAATAATAAAATAAAATTATATAAATTAAATTACATTATATAAAGTAAAGTAAAATTAAGTGAAATAAAACAAATTAAATTATTTATATATAAGTAAACAAAATATAATTAAAAGCTATATTAAAATAACCGAGCTAAAACAAAATAAAATAAACTATAAAAAAAAGAGGAAAAATATATATTAAAAAAATTTAAAATATAGAAAATAAAAGTAAATGAAAAACTATTTTTCAAATTGAATAAGTTACTTGTAAATACCTTTTAAAAATAAAACTGAAAGCTAAAAATTAGAGATAAAAGGAAATTCCTTTAGAAAATATGCTTGGAATGGGTGTATTAGTATAAAAATATTTTACTAATAAATTATTTCTGGATAAAATTAATTTATAAAATTTCATAATGCAGTTGAAGTTCATGTTAACATAACGTTCAAGCTAAAAGTAAAAAATCTGTTGTCTTAATTAGTAATAAAAAAATAACAAAAACTTTTAAATTATAATCAACCATTTTTATAATTTCTTAGCTTATTTTGAACTAAATTTTGAGCAGAAAGTAAAGAAACTAACAATTAAAATACTTAATATTGTACTTAATTCAATAAAGAATTTCTCGAAAAAAAATTTTATTTGATAAACAGCGAAAAAAATTAAAAAAATATATTTTTTTAAAAATAACGACGGAAACAAAAAATATAAAATTTGGGATGTTAATAAAAATAAACTTTGAAAAATAATAACAAAAAGAGAGAAGAAAACATTTAGAATGTCAATTAAAAAAAATTAATATGTGAAATAATATTTAAGATTAATGGTTATATAATGTATTTGTAGCATATTTTTTATTGATTGAGACGTTTTATGAATTTGAATGTCAACCTTCCTACGCATATCTAACATCACCATAACTCGAGACACACCCACAAAGCCTAATTAAAATGCAGCAATTATACAATATTTCTATATACATACATATTTATATATAAGCTTTTTATTTGATAAAAAAAATATGAATTATAAATTTTGAAAAAACGAAATTTAATAACTCAATGTGCATTTAAATTGCCTTAAGTGTTTCGCAAATTAATAAATCATAAATATATAAGTAAATCTTTTATGACAAATGCACGTAGATAATGAAAATCCGTTAATGAGTCTATTGAGGTTACTGAAAGATTGCAAGAAATTAATTATAAATTTTTTACAACTTTGTACTCAGTTTCGCTGACACTAATTTATGCGTTGAAACTAAAGTCTCGCATCGCAAGACAAGACTGACTGAGTTGTAAGCTCAACAGATGACTAAAAATGTTTAATAAATCGATTGAACATTAGAAACTGACAATCGAATCGGCGAAGACAACTTTGATGCCAACCTCTTTTTTTTTTTTGTTTTTTTTTCTTTACAAGCCAACTTACTTCATTTAAATAAAAAAAATACCGAATGTGTTAATTTCATACATCAATAATAAATTTTCCAGCTTTATGGATGGCTCACTCGCTATAGCTTTACATATGTTCATAGTACAATAAAAGACACACATACTCGTATCTCGTATGCAAGCTATGCTATTGTTTATTGTTTGAATAAATGTGCATATGCAAATCGGTATTAATAGTTGACAATGAGTAAATTGTGTGCTGTAACAATGAGAATATAATTACATGCACACATACAAATGTACATATGTAAATGCGAGTGTATTTAAATAGCGGCTGAATGCAACAGTAACGTTGGTCAGTTATGGCTAACCGTGTACATCAGTCAAATGAATACCTTCAACTATGCAAATACATATATGTGTACATATTCACTGCTATTATTTTGTATTTAGATATACATTTAGCAGGTTTAATTACATAAAAAATACATTAGCGTATAAATCTAAAATGCTAATCATGCTGTCAAAGGAAATCCCACGTTTTGCACTTTTGTTGTTGATATAAGGAAAAAATTATGAATATACCGTGCTGAAACATAGAATACACAATAATGCTGGTTTGAGAGCATGTAGGAAAATTCTGAAACAGGTCTGAATGAAATTACTTTATTTTATTTTCTCTTTTATTTAATTACTCTATTTTATTCATGTTATTTTGTTTTTTTACTATTTTATTTTATATATTTTTTTATTTTAACGTATTTTAGCTTTGCATTTCAATTTATTTTATTTCAGTTTTTATATCATATAAATGTTATTTTTTTATTTTATAATATTTTATTTAATTTAATTCTATTTTTATAGTAAATAATATTTTTTTATTATTATTTATTAATTTTATCTTAGTTTATGTTTATAATATTTTGTTTTCTGAATTTTTTTATTTTATTTCTTTTGTATTATTTTATTATTATTTATTAATTTATTCTGTTTTAATATATTTAATTTTATTTTATTTATTTTTAATTTTTCTTAATTTATTCATTTTTTTATTTTATTTGTTTTTTTATTTTTTTTAATTTATTTCACTTCAATTTATATTTAGGTTTAAGATTCATCAATTTATTTAGTTTTAATTTATTTAATTTTATTTTATTTATTTTTCCATTTTTTTATTTTATTTCTTTTTTTTAATTTTATTTTGTTCATATTTATTTATTTTTAAATTATTTTATTTTAATTATTTTTTAAATTTTTCTTTTGTTTGTTTTATTTCAATATATGTTTAAGTTATTTTTTTATTTTCTTAATTTTTTTATTTTCTTAATTTATTTTATTTTGCTTCATTCAATTCATTTTATTTTATTTCTTTTGTTTTATTTTATTATTATTTATTAATCTATTTTGTTCTAATTTATTTAATTTTATTTTATTTCTT